TCGGCGCTCTCAAGGGTCCACAGGGCTGAGTGTCCACTGGTACACTAGTAGGCATCAGATTATTGGAACCACACCCAGCAACGCTCAGGGGGTGCTGAAGACTGAACTCGGGGCCTCCTCACGCATGGCAGGCACCAGCAGGCCCTATCCATGGCCCAGCAGGGACCACTCTAAAATCTCTTTGGATTGGGAAGCTGATGGAGACTTCATGGAGGAAAGCGTTAGTTGCAGTTAAAGCCACAGAGACTCCCGATAGCACAGTGGGTGGGACGTTTGTTTGCCTTGCATGCGACTGACCCGGGTACAATACCCCATACAGTCCTCCGACATCACCAGGAGTGATCCTTGAGCACAGAGCCAGGATAAGCTCAATCACAACCAGGTGTGGCCCAAAAAGAAAGGACCGAAGGAAGGGAAGAAGGAAGGGAGGGAGGAAGGGAGGGAGGGAGGAAGGGAGGGAGAGAGAGGAAGGGAGAGAGAGGAAGGAAGGAAGGAAGGAAGGAAGGAAGGAAGGAAGAAGAGGAAGGAAGGAAGGAAGGAAGGAAGGAAGGAAGGAAGGAAGGAAGAAGGGAGGAGGGAGGGAGGGAGTGAGGGAGAAAGGAAGAAAGGAAGGAAGGAAGGGAGGGAGGGAGGAAGGAAGGAAGGAAGGAAGGGAGGGAGGGGAAGAAAGGAAGAAAAAAAGAGAGAAAGAGGAATGGAGACTCTCCAAGATGAAGTGTTATGTCAGGGGTCTTCTCATGCCTTTTCCATCCGCACCCAAGCACACCCCTGCATTCATACAGGGCTCTCCGCAACATCACCAAATCTGGCCTTAGGGGGCACAACCAGGCACCGTGAGCCAGGAGCCCCTCTGGATTTTCTTCACACCCCTCCAGTCCTGCCTATGGCCGGGCCACCCAGCCATCTGCCAGAGGATTCAGAGTGGGAGCAGGAGCTGGGGGGAGCAGCGTGTCGCGTTGGGGGTGGCTTTGCCTCTTGTCCCAGGTTTCCATTCTGGATGCAGCTGGGGTGGGTGGGTGACAGCAGTGGTTGGAGGGAGATAGCCCTTCCTCCAAGCTCAGCCTCCGCGGAGCCCAGGAGAGTTGGGTCAGGAATGGGTTTAGCTTGAAGTACTCCTCTGTTGAGAAGCTTTGTTATTCTCGGAATATCCTGAGAAATGCTTGAGCTCTGAGAACCAGGAACCCCCAAGGGTGTTTTCTGAAGACTGGTGGAGCATCAGTCTCAGAGAGGAGCCACAAGGCCTACAAAAGAAGAAAGTGTATGTCAAGCCTGCGTGCTGCAGGCCTCGTGAGGACTCCCAGCTGAATTTCGGTCCACGTGGGCATCTTGAACAGATTGAGAACTCAGAAGCCCAGGAAATGAAGACCGCCTTGGGGAGCAGAACAAGGGGAAGGTGACTGTGGGCCTGGGCGAGGACCTGGGAGGCAGCCCCAGGCTCCTGGGGCCCAAGCCAGGTGGGGTGTCATCACCTAAGCCCCCTGAGTGCCACCTGTGAATCGTGAGGAGCAAAATGAAAAAAAAGCCACCATTCCCACATCAGACCCTGGGCTTCTTGGCCACAGGAAGCAAAACAGTGAAAGTGTCAAGTCCTCAGACAAAGAATAAGGACAGTTGCCTAGAAGCCAGAGGGTGGGTCAGAGGGCAGCTGTTCTGGGAGATGCTTTTATGCAGGCGCCTGGGGTCAGCTTGCACTGGAAGTAAATGCTCAACCTCCTAAACCTCACCAGGTATGGACCCTCAAATCAAAGACTTAATTTAATCATAAAACAAAGAAAAGGGTATCTTTTCTTTAAAAAAAAAAAGAATATTTTTTCTTTCAAAATGATCGGGCATATGCGAGCACCCATTAGCAAGGGGAGCTCTCCATTGCAGAGATGGGGGTCCATCTCTGAGAGACGCCACTCCCCTCCATTCGCAGTCCTTGAACCTTTCCTTCTGTCACATAGGACAGGCTGTGGGCGGAACAGAATCTGGAGGCTCGGCACTGGTTATTACCAGGCTGAACCCGGTGAAATTGTTTTTACCACTTTGGGTCGACAAAAACAACTATTTCACATCAACTCTTTATTATCTAAAAGAATCATAATAATAGCTTCCATTAATTGAGCAGCTACATTGTGCCAGAAATTCAGGCATATCATGATGTTTATTCTTCCCCCTCAGCCCTTGGAAGCAGATAATTATCATCCTGATTTCAGATGAAGGAGTTGAGATGGAAAGAGATTAGATAACCGCCCAGACCGCCACAGTTAGCAAGATGCAGACACAGGTTTTCTTCCTTTGACGGCCTTTTCTTATCCCTAGAGTAGGTGTTAAAACTAAGCCCTGAGGCTGACAGGCAGGGTTGGGGATCTGGGTTTGGGAACTATCCCAGGCAGGTTCTGAAAAGTCCTATCACTGGCAAGGCATAACGGAGGGTGCCCCCAAAAGGTGCGTCATCAATGGCATTGCCAAAACTATCCAGGATCGTGTCCTACAGACCAGGCTGCCTGCTGGCATGGAAATGTGGCTACGGTGGGGCAGCCTGTCACCTCCCTTATCTGGAAAAGCTTTCTGCTCCCCGGTTAGCTTTCCTTTGTCTTTTGGGGAGTGAAAGCTTCCCGCTGCAGACCACCGGCTCCTAGGGCGTGGGAGAGCCCTAGGGGAAAGGAGAGGGGACGAGGAGGAGGCGGGGTTCAGCCGGTCCTCTCCACACCTGGGCTCATGCCCCGCGGGCCGCGGGAGAGGGGGTGCCAGCGGGATTCCCCGCAGCTGACTGTGCGCCTCCGAACGCCCCTTCCCCGTCTCTGCAGCTGCCCCCAGCCCCAGCTCCACTGGACGCGGAGCCAAGTCGTGCCCGACCCCCCCCCCCCCCACCGGCTCGCCGCAGTCCCGTGCTCCTTCCCAAGCCGAGGCACCCCTTGCCCACCTGACCCCCAGCTTCGCGCCCCTGAGTGCGAGGCACCGAGACGCCCGCGCGTGGCGCCCCAGCCCTCCCCGGCGCCAAGCACCCCGCGTTGCCAGGGGCTCAGTCCCCCCCCCCACCCCAGCTTCTCCCCCGACCCCTTCCTCGCGGGGGACTTGGCTCCGTCACCCCAATCAGTGCCCCCCCTCCGCACCCCGCCCCCAGGAGAGCGCCTGCTCCAAGCCGGACGACGACATCCTGGACATCCCCCTGGACGACCCCGGCGCCAACGCGGCCGCGGCCAAAATCCAGGCGAGTTTCCGGGGCCACATGGCGCGGAAGAAGATCAAGAGCGGGGAGCGCGGCCGGAAGGGCCCGGGGACCGGGGGTCCGGGCGGAGCCGGGGGCGCCCGGGGGGGCGCGGGCGGCGGCCCCAGCGGAGACTAGGCCTGGTGAGCGCGCGAGGCCGGGGCGAGGCTGGGGGGCCCGGGAATCCGAGCCGGGGGTGGGGTCGGGTGGAGGAGGCTGGGATGCCCGGGGAGGGACGGGGGGGGGGGGGAGGGGGGCGGGTGGAGGAGGCTGGAGGTGCCCGGGGGCAGGTGGAGGAGGCTGGGGATGCCCGGGGAGGGACGGGGGCAAGGATGGGGGCCCGGGGGACGGGTAGAGGAGACTGGGGGGGCCCGGGGAGGGACGGGGCAAGGATGGGGGCCCGGGGGCGGGTGGAGGAGGCTGGGGTGCCCTGGGAGGGACGGGGGCAAGGATGGGGGGCCCGGGGAGGGACGGGGTCAAGGATGGGGGGTCAGGGAGAAGCGGGTGGAGGAGGATGGGGGTGCTCCGGCAAGCTCACCCCGCTGCTCTCTCCACCTCCTCCCACCATAAACCGCCCCGCCCTGGACGGAAGAGCTGAGCATTTTAGAAGGTAATGGACGGAGTTGGAGCTGCGGGGTCCCAGGTGGGAGACGGCCGCGGACCGTGCCCGGGGGTGGCTTTGGATCTGAACGCCCGAGGCAGCGGCGGCGACGCCCCGGCGGGGGTGGGGGCTCCCCGGCGTCCCGCTTTTGGGGGTGCGGGGGTGGGTGGCTGGGGAGCAGGTGCTGAGGCTGGCCCACCGCTCAGTTCTCTAGGAGAGATGGATGCCGCGTCCCCTTCGCAGTGACGAGACTTCCCCGCCGTGTTCGTGACCTTCCTTCCACCGCCCCGCAGCTTCAGGAGCCCGCCCTGCGCCCCCGGAGACCCCCGCTCCCAGGCAGGCTCCGTCCCGGAGTCTCCGCCCGCGCCCGTTGAGTTGGTCCCGCGCTCTTCCTCCCACCTGGCCCGAACCCGCGCCCGCCCGACTCTCTCCTCTCTGGCTTCTCGTCCTCTCTCCCCCAGCATGCAGCTCCGCCCTGGGCCGCCGGCCCGCGTGGCCCGAATATTATCGCTTCTTGTCTTTTTCTTTTTCTCTTTTCTTTTGATCCCCCCTTCCCAGTCCTTGCGTTCTGCGCGCCGCTGAAGGGAGCGCCCGGCGTCTCCGTGCTGTTCCCGCCCCAGCCCTTCGGATCTGGGGCGCGGAGTGAAGAAGGGAAGCGGGTTTTTCCCGCTCCGATCGGAAGGCAAGCCCCTGTTCCACCCCTCCCAGCTCCGCGCCTGCCTGTATCCAACCTCCCCCCTCCCCGCAGCGCACCCCGAGAGCCGCCTCTTCGCGCTCCTCCGGTTTATATGCAACGCCCGGGAGGCCCGACGGGAGGAGTTCACCCCGGGCCGGCCTCCCCCGGGCTCCTGGGCTGTGGCCGGAAGGTTTTTTTTTCATCTCGGTGTGTGCATGTGACCGTGCTGGGTTGGAATGTGAACAATAAAGAGGAATGTCCAAGTGTTCCGAGGGTGCTGGAGGGGAGAGAGCTCCAGGGCATCGGCCACGGGCTGGAAGTTTGCCACAAGTCTCACTGGACCCAGCCCCACGGTAGGGGTGGGGAGGGGAGCCCTCAAAGCACCCCCCACCTCACTTGGACCAACCCAGACTCTGGCCAGAGCATGGAGCACCGGCTCCTTATCAGTATTATGTTTGGGGCCGCCTACAAGAACTGGCTGCCTCTGGCAGAAAGGGGGAAACAGTCTGGTGCCGGAAGGCTTTAATTATTTTACATGCCCCACCCCAGGGACTGGGTGTGCAATCACACCACCATGGGGAGCTTGGACTTGGTGGTGGACACGGTGCTGGCTGAGGGGGACCTCTCCAGGAGGCCACGGCTAGAATCAGGCTTGGCAGAAGGACGCTCAGAAATCCCAGGAGCCATAGCATCCTCCCTGAAGAATACAGACGGGGACATGGGTGTGGGGAAGCCTGGAAGTGGCCCGCCCTCTGGCTCATGGGAATCAAGCGTGGGACTCAGCTGGACTCAGTCAAGATTCCAGGCCTCATCACCACCCCCCTTACACACACACACACACACACACACACACACACACACACATTGCTTACGCAGCCAAACTGAGTTGAACAAGTGCCCTGTGATCCCAGGTAAACCCAAGGCCACACTTGAGAACTACTGCATTGATCCCGTATCCAATGCTGCAGCTAACAGCCGCCATGCCCCCTTTCAGCAGCTCATTGCTCAGAACTCAGCTGAGTGCCCAGGGCAAGTCCCACAGAATTTGACTCAGGTGAGTGAATGCCCAGGGCAAATCCCACTCACGGCTTCTCTCCCTTGCAGGTGTTTTATAAACAGGACTTGGAAAACGGGTTGATGAGAGTGAGCGCAGGTGCATGGTCCCCATCACCACACATGGTCTCCCTCACTGTCATTGGATCTCGGGGCTGACCCCCATCCCCCAGTGCCCCAAAGATGTCACATTTGTGTTGTGTAGTGCCAAGGATAAAACCTAGGACCTCACCCGTGCAAGGCAGGGGCCCTCCCCTCCCTGCCCACACCACCCTCACCCCCCGCCCACCTCAGATCACTGCCCACGTATGTTTCCTTGGGCTGCTTCCTCCTGTCTCTCTGGCACCGTATGAGGCAGAACACACCGATGGACAGGAACAACACGGCCAGCAGCACCCCGATCACTGCTCCGGCCACCCGGCCTCCAGAAGGATCTAAGGAGACAGGGTCCTCAGAGCAGCAATGCCACCCCCACCCTCCTCACAGGGCCACCACCCCAGCCCCCCTACCAGTCACGGAGAGGGTCAGATCGCAGGATGCACTGCCCATCTGGTTGGTGGCCATGCAGCGGTAGGTCCCCGAGGAGGCCAGGGAGAGGTTGGAGAGAATGAGCTGGCCGGACACCTCATCTAAACGGCAGAGGAGGCAGCCAGGGGTCAGCCCTGAGCACCATCTCAGGACGGCAGCTTCGCCTCCTCCTGGCAGTCAGGTCCTTCTGGCAGTGGGAAACTGACCAGGAGCAGCCAAGTAGCTTGTCCAAGGAGGCCCAGAGAGGAAGTGGCCAAGCCTGGGCCACCTCTGCTGTCCGCCCTCCTCTCCTCCCTCTCTCTCCACTTGCAGGGGAGAGGGCGGCTGTGGCGTGTGTAGGGGTCAGGAACGGGCAAGGGAATGGGGTGCGGCGTTCCCTGGCTGGTGTCCAGTTGGGGTGTGGCAGACTTGCTGCTGCTATATGCTCCCTGGATAGCTCGAGGCTGACCCAAACGCTTGTCCCCACCATGCACCTGCTTTGCAGGCACACACCCCGAGGTCCACTGGGGGTTGGGGGTGCTTCGGATCAACTAAGGGGGTTATGGGGATTGGGAGAAGTCATTGGCACCAGCCCAGAACAGGGAAAAAAGCAAGGAGCAATTTCCAGTTTCCACCCCTGAAACTGGGGGACGAGGCAAGCCAGTACACACCCTGCTAGCAGGCTCAGAAGTGATTCATGAGTGGCAGAAAATCTCCAAAACATCCCCCCTGGAATAGTCGTGCGGGGCACAAGGGGTACCTCTGCCCTCCACCCGCTTCCAGCTGGGGAACTGTCCCTCATTCCCGTCTCCCCCCATCATGCATCCACAGGCCAGGCCTGTAGAGACGCTGGAGAGGGTGGTACGGAGGAGGTGCTGGCTCCCCGCTTCCCCTGCCCGGGGCCTTACCTTGCACCATGCCGCCGGGGGGAGCCGTGGGAGCAGAGCCCACGTACACCCATTTGTACACAGGCTTGGGGGCTCCCTCGGCAGAGCTGCACCTTAGTGCCACAGCACCTCCCACTGCGGTATCGCCGCTCCGGCTGCACGAGGGGCGGCTCGGGGGCACTGCAAACCCCAGAGGACCATCAGGACCTTCCGACACCTGTTCCTGAACCACTCCAGCCCCCAGAAAGGACCCCCTCTGCCCCCGGCTCCTGCTGGAGATGCCCAGAGCTCAAAAACTTCTTCCGGATCTCAGTTTCCTGCCCTCTGAGCTCACAAAGGGACCGGAAACAGATCTCAGCCCTTCAGATGTCTGAAGCAGCTGTCGGACACTACCTCGAAGTCCTGGATCCCAGCGAACCACCCCCAGCTTCTGGAAGTTTCTTCTTGAGCAGGAGAGCCCCCGCCTTAGTGAGGGGCTACTGACCCAGGAGGGGCAGAATCAGCCCCCCCACCCCGGAGGTTCCCAGAGTGTGACTCAGACGCCTGTGTAAGGGCAGGGCAGGCCCGGGCAGGGCTGGTCAGCAGGCCCCAGAGAGATGTGCTCCCAGGAGGGTGGGGCAGGAGGTGGGGGGAAGGAAATGCTCTCCCCGGGGGTCCCCAGTGAGGCTCCGGGGGTGTTAGAAGGGCCAGGGTGACCCCCAGGCCCTCCGCCTGGCTCACCCAGCACCGTGAAGTTGATCATTCCCAACCCGTTGGTGTCAAAGTCGGGGGGGTTATTCACATGGCAGAGGAAGGTTCCGGTGTCTGAGGGCTGGACGCGACTCAGCTGCAGGCTGGCCACTCCCGCCGTGGGGGGGCTCTGCACCAGCCTGGCTCGCTTCGCCTTGGAGCCCGTGGGGTACAGGTGGCCATTGGTGAAGTAGAGGATCTGGGGGGCAGCAGAGGGCACACAAGTCCTTTCTCGAAAGTGGGCTTGAGGCCACTCCCCTGCATGGCAGCCTGGAGGGTAGCGCTCCCCCCACCAAACCCCCCCCTCTGGGTGGGCACACCGCCCCCCAAAAAAGCCTGGGAGGGCCGGCGTTACCCCCTCACCAGACACCAGAGTGTGGCCTCAAGGCCTCGGGGCTTGGGGCTCGGAACTGAATCTGGAACTGCACTGATGTCAGGAAGGGGGCTAGAGGGGAAGTGCTCTGTGGTGGGAATCTGGAAGGCATGGGAGCCCTCACCCGTCCACACACACTGCCCTCCCCGCACCCAGCCTGGCCCACCACCCCTCCCGGCCGGCGTCCCCTGACTCACGGGCAGAGACTCAGACAGGGGCTGGCCCGGCGGCACAAAGCTCCACTCCAGGGCGAAGTTGTCCCCGACAGACGTGCGGTAGGTGCAGCTCAGCTCGGCCGTGGTGCCCACCGGGGTGCTCAGAGGCTCGGCGGGCACCGTCACCTCCACGGCAAGCGCAGCCACTGGGGGGGCAGGGGCCGGTGACCTGATGTGGGGTCCACCCTGGGCTCCCCCCCCCCAAGAGTTTCTCTCTCCAGCTCAGCCCTTCTCCTGGTCCCTGCAGCTTCCGGGAGAGAGAGGCCCGGGCCTGCCCAGTGTGTGGGCCAAAGGCCCCCACTGGGCGTGCTAGGAGGGTGTGCTTGCCGCAGGGAGAGAGAGAGAGAGACCCCAGGGTGCTGCGGGAGTTGGGGTGCTGTGCTCCACTGTCAGGAGCCCCTCTCCGTCCCTCCCGCCCACCCGGTGCCCTGCCCCCTCACTCCGGCTGCCCTGAGGTGCCCACCCTCGTGAGACCAGTCCCTTCTCACCACTCAGGTGGGCCACGACCAGCAGGAGCCCCCCAAGGAGCGAGCCAGGCAGCAGGGCCATGGTCCTGCCCTCCAGCCGTCAGGTCCGTGGGGGTCTGGGTCCTGGCGAGGGCCTCTACAGGGCTGGGCGCTGGGCAGGAGGAGCCTGGTTATCTCAGAGCAAACAAGGGCAGAGGCCTGGGCTGGCCCTGGGAGCAACACTCCTCCTCCAGGCCTGGGGACGGCACTGGTGAGACCTCCTCCACCGGCCACCTGCCCCCAACTCCCAAGGCTGGGCTGCAGCAACCCCTTGCAGAGTCAAGTTCCTTCCCAGCCCTCCCTGACCTCCCGCCTTCCCTTCTCCTCTCACTGGAGTGGGTGTCTCCATGGAAACTAGCACCTCGCACACAGCGCCCCTGTGCCCCTTGGTGTGCGGGACATAGAGAAGGCAGCAATGAGACAGTGCCCGTGTCCCCTGCCCTGCTTGGCCCAGGACAGGGTGTGTGGGGGGTGGGGTGGGGTGCTTGCTGGCTGCAGGGCATGCTTGTGAAGGCCCTTGTGATCTGGGAGGGGACACGGCCCAGCCAGAGTCACCTCAGCCCCACAGTGCCCCAGTCCTAGCCCCTCAGGATGGGGTGGGGGTGGGGGATTACCCCACAGACTTTGGAACTGTCCAAGCCTGTAAGTCTGAGCGGAGAACCCCCTCATTCCCAGGGAAGGGGCCTCCCTATGCCCATCCTGCGGCTCACCTCACCCCCACCCACCCCGCCCCGCTGAAAACATGCACAGACAAGCACCCCACGTTCCTTACAAACACAGTGCATCTTTATTGAGACTCGCAAAATAAAAACAGAAACACACACATTTCAAGTTAGTTTTAAAAACAGGGTCCCTGCCCTGGCCAAACCTGGCCAAGCCAGCAGGACAGGTTCCCCAGAATTGCAGGGGGCTGGGGAGTGTTAGAGGCTAGTGGTTCGGGGCTGGGAGGGCACACTCCCACGAGGCCCCCTGGATCTCGTGGCTGTCTAGGGGCAGGAAGGGCTTCTTTGCGTGTTCAGGTCCCCTCCCTCTTCCCCACCTTTCAGAAATGCGGGCCCTAACCCACATTCCGTTTTTCTCTAGGAAAGCAAGGTGGGAGGCAGAGGAGCAGGGGCCTGGACGGTGGCCCCCCTCTCAAGAGTCCATGACCAACCCCAAGGGGAAGGGGAGAGATGGCACGTGTCAGCCCGCGAGGGCCCGGCCAGGCCTTCATACCAGAGACCCAGCCTGGCTCTGGGCGGGCACCATGACCGGAACGGCGCCCATGCGGCTCAGCACGGAGGAGGAGATGCCACTCGGGCTGGGGACTGCCAGCTGCCGGTGCACCCCGTCTGTCCCAGGCAACCGCGGGGAGGAGGGCAGGGCCTGGCTGGAGAGGCTGGGGGTGGGGGTCATGGTCCCTAGTCTGGCAGGGCCTGGGGGTGAGCGGAGGGCCCGCGCGGAGGTGACAGATGACAGGGTCCCGTTCTTGGAGATGGTGTCTGAGCCCTTGGGCCATGGCAGGGTCCGGGGGGCTGTGGCGTCCTCCCTGGTCATCAGAGGAGGAGGAAGTGGGGAGTCAGAATCTCAGTTCAATGTTCCCCCCACCTCCACCAGCCACCCCTGGGCATGAAAGAAGTCACAGAAGCCCATCCTCTGGGGGACAGCAGCCAGGCTCTTACTTGATATCGTTGGCCGGCTCCTCTACGCCCTTGGCCTTGCGGTGGCGTTGGAACAGGAGGACCAGCCCGACCAGCAGCGCCAGCCCCAGCAGGGTGCCCACGATGGCCCCTGCCACCACTGCAGCCCCAGGTCCTAGAAAAGCCTGTAGTCAGAGGGGGCACCTGGCCACTCCCTGCCCCTCCAGCCCCACTGCCCCCGGGTCCTGGAAAAGACTGTAGTCAGAGGGGGCACCTGGCCGCTCCCAGTCCCTGCCAATCCCAATGCCCACTGACACCAGGTCCTCTAAAAGTCTGCAGTCAGAGGGGGCACCCGGCCGCTCTCACCCCCCTCCAGCCCTACTGTCTACTGCTGCCTTTCCTGGTCAGGAGAACAAGGCTGCCAGGCAAAAAACAGCCAGTCAACCAACCACCAGGCACTGACCAGGGCGAATGCACAGCTCCTTATGCTGCACTCAAAGTGTGTGGTATCGGCAACTGGCCCCTACCGCCCTGTGATCCCCACCAGCCTTCTCCTGAACTCACTTACCCCTCACTGACCTGTGCTCACTTCCAGGGTCACATTGCATGAGCCGCTGCCCACCTGATTGTGGACCTTGCAGATATAGACACCGGACATGGACGAGGACAGGTTGGAGAGGTTCAAGGAGCCCCTGTAGGCATCTGTGGACACGACACAGCCATCAGTCTGCAGCCCCTATTTCCCCCAACACCCCAAGGTCCTCTTGGAAATTCCGGGGGGCGGGGGGGCTCGGCGGTCTGTTACCAGTGTGGCAGGCCTGCAGCTCTACCTGCCAGCATCCCAGAGCAGGGTGCGGAAGTGAGGCCCACAGAGACCGAAGAGCATTTCCACCCTCCATTTCCGCATGGCTATGTGGAGAGACCCAGGTTGGGCCAGGGAGGATGGGGTCCAGACCAGGCCGCAGGGCCCGGGGACACAATCAGTGCCAGGGCACATGTTCACATGTGCCAGGCACTAGGTTGGACTCCCCACATCACTTCTGAAGAAGGCAGAAAAGGCCACAGGTCTCTAAATAAATGACTTGTCATCCTGGAGCCTCGGTGTGTAGGATGGAAGCAGCCAGACCAGGTTAAGATCTTTCCCCGGGGTTAATTGGAGCCTCAAGTTGGCAGTGAAGAACAGGAGCTGAACTGTTCTCTGTGGCGGGTAAAGGGGCTGGGGGCCCAAAATGTGCTCGGGAGGCCTTGGGGCCCCTCCCAGTGATTCCTGGCCATCCGGCTGGCTGAGAGTCAATGTGAATGTCTGAGGCTGAGATGCAGGTAAGGCCCTGTGGCACTGAGAGTGCCCCATCCCAGCAGTGTGACTGGGGGTGGGGTGGCGAGTGGTGGTGGAGAGGCAGGGGAGGGGCAGGGGGTTCCAGGGCCACACCCATGATGCTGGGAGGGGCCCTCTAACTCCGCACCTGGGATATTCAAGGGACCATGTGATGCCAGGGGTCAAACCAGGGTTGGTCACATGCAAGGCCATGTGCCTTAACCCTTGCACTATCTCCCTGACCCAAGTGTCTTTTGTCACAAAAACGGCCCAGTGGATGGGCTGCAGGGAGAATTCATGGGTTAAGGTGTTTGCCTTGTAATCGCACCAAACCTGGTTTGAACATCTGTACCACACAATGGCCCCAGCATGTCAAAAGTCACCCCTGGGCACAGAGCCAAGGGTAACCCCAGAACCCCACGGGGGGCGACCCAGCACTGTCTCCCGCCCAAGAATGCACAGATAGACAGTAAAAAGAGGAATGAAATGAAAATCTACCACCTACATTCAACGATTGCTGACATTTTGCTGTATTTGTTGCATTATTTTTTTCTGAAACATTTTAAAATAAAGACTTTATCATACATCTCAAAAAAATAAGGGACAGAGCTCCACAGAAGTACAGTACCATTACCGTGCTGTTATTGTGGTGAACAGCTATAACCACTTTCTAAAAGGCCCAGTGCTCCATATTAAATCCTCCCAGGGGCCAGAGGACTAGGATGTGAGGTCAGGCTCCTGTCCTGCATGGAGCTGACTGGTTCCACCCAGGCACTGCATGCATGTGGTCTCCTAAGAACCACCAGGGGTCACTCCTGAGCACAGAGCCAGGAGGAATTCCCAAAACCCCAAAATAAAATCAAACCTTCTAATTGCCCCCTCCCTAACCTTTACCCTGGTGTGTTCAAATCAGGGTCATGGACCAGCAATTTACAAGTGGGGAGGTGAGGTCAAACCCCAAGTGTAGAGACCCCCGCTGACCCAGAGAGCAGATCATGGGGCTCCAGAGCCCAGGGACCCAGCATGGAGCGGGACAGACCCTCCTCGCAGCCCTCCTCCCTTCCCCAGTGAGCCCCTCCCCTCGCATGCACCTCCCACTTGCCCTGCCATCTTGTCCCGCCCTGCCCAGACCACAGTCTCTGGGAATTTCCTCACCTAATATTGGTGGAAAGAAAATCTGGGAGGATGGAGGTGGCCGCATCCACTGGTACTGGGCCGCTGGCTTACTCCTCGGGGACTTGCAGCTCAGGCTCACGTTGGTCCCCACCCGGGGGACACCCACAACACGGCAGGACGGAGGCGCTGGAGGAACTGGGGGAGGGATAGCAGGTTAAAAACCATTTCCAGGACCTGGGGAAGTGGGTCCTAGTGGCTCGAGGGCTTGCTTGGCATTAGGTTCCTGGCACCGCAGGGTCCCCCCAGCACTCCTGGGTGTGACCCCAGACCTAACCATAGCGCACCCAAGGGACTGTCAGTTTCCGGCAGGGGCTCACCCACCCAGCACGCTGAGCTCCAAGGCCTGGCTGTTGGCATGCTCCGTCCTCACTCCTTGTCGGTCTTGCACGTTCACGGAACAGTAGTAGGACCCTGAGTCTCTCTCCTGGAGACTCCGTAGCCGCAGAGACACGTTCTGGGAGGGCATGGAGTAGACCAGGGCCACTCCGTCTTTGCTAACTGTGGCCCCCCGGATGTAGGCCAGCACCTGTTGTGGGCATAACCCCTCCGGGTTACTCCATGAGTGCTCTGTGCCCCCTCCCCACTAATACACCCCCCAGTCCCTTCCCTGCAGCCACCGAGTCCCACCTGACCCAGCTCCCCAGTCACCCCAACTTCCCCTAGGTCCTCTTCCTTCTAGGGGTTCTTGGGACCCCCACTTCCTGGGGTGCTGGGAAAGGTTAGGAACGGGGTGAGGTGGAACCAGTGTGGGGGGGCTGACCCTTGCCCCTCGAGGGGGCAGAAAGGAGGAGCAGGACAGTCATTTGGGAAGAAAAAGAGATGCTGGAATACCGACATGTTTTACTTGCCCTAATCCTTCCCTTCCCTCAACCCCAAATCCTCAACCTCTTCAGGGTACCGGACTTCCAGGGAAAGTTGGGGGGAGGGGAGTCG